AGTTGGATTAAACGGCCTGTATACGGTCAGAAAATTCAGAGTAGGTGAACAACGCACCCTTAGTTTTAAGCACATTGCTTCACAGTCACTGGAGCTATCAGTTTTTTGTTCTGACGCAATGATTCCCCTCTTGACGTAGATTACTAATTCCCTCCTATTTTATGCAGCCTGTCTCTGAGTACAATTTCGCCGTTCAAGACTTCAATCTGTAGCCAAGTCTCTCTAATGGAACATCCGGCTGCGTGCCTAACAAGCACGCTTTTAGCTCATCTGGCTTCTGAAACCAACTCTGAGCATTTGCATAAAGAAAGCGGAGTTTAGCCCGGACAGACTTCTGAACGATTTTTGGGTCGAAGTTGCTCCCTTTCGAGTCTACTGGTGTTTGATCGAACTGGATATCAGTGGGTTGACCGTCAATTTCTCTGGTCGGTTTGGCAGATAAATAAGTTCTTTTTTATAATTTGGTTGTTCACCATACACAGTGTTATTGGCTGTCTTTAAAGGAATGCGCTCCGAAAATTTACGATTTTCTCCTTCAATATTCTTAGGGTTTTCTCGCCGGAGTTAGATCTTCGGTGGAATTCGGTCTTGAGATCAATCCATTTCTCCTGTCCGACCGGTGAGATATCCCGCTAAAAATTGTTGAGTTGGCGTCTCAGAGTGCTGGTTTCCTGTGAAGCAGTAGGAGAGCTTGTTCCTCATTTAAGAGAACAATTTTTAAAGTTTTATGATTTCTCGACTCGTCCGGTGTATCCTTAATTTGTCCTATTCTGAAAGCTTCCAAGACGGCAATGCTCTCGTTCTCTTGTAATAGAAGTTGGAGGCCATATATATATCTATTCTGATCTTTAGGATTCCGAAGTAGATTTAGGCATACCCTTTACGACGATGCATTTACTGAGACCATACTTAGGGCCCCGTCATTTATTTATATATGCAGAATCCGCATCGTGCCGATTCCTGCTGACATCACTGTCCAATTCAGAGACAGTTGTCATGGCATAGCTACCGCAGGGTTCCTCGTCTATCGAGGCTTCTTGCTCATGTAGTACCTCTTTTGGCATTGAGGTATTTGCCTGCATTGTGCGTGGACTCTGCTCTCTCACACGGGCACTGTGCCGTACTTGGTCTTCTCGGGATTCTCCAAGAGGTTTCTTCGTTCTATGATACCTTTTGGTGGTTCCCTTCTCGCACATGAGGCCGGTTCTCGGTTGTGATTAGGTCCTTAGAGGGCTGTCTTCTTTCTCAGTGGCTAATGCAGCAACTGAAGTTGTAGTGGCATTTTTTCTATTAGTCGTCTGAATTTCTGACATCCTCGACTCTCTCCTTTCAGGGAAATAGTGAGGACGCTTCATCAAATTCTCCATCGAGATTCTTAGATTTCTTATCTCGTTTTCCATCTCGAAGAATTTCCGAAGAAGTTCAAAACATGCCGCACAGGTTTTGTCTTCGTATTTGACATCCCATAGAATTATACAACTCCTTGCGCGTTTCGCGGGAGGTGATTTGACAGTAGGAAACTTAGCGCACTTGCCATTTGTCCAACGTCTAACGCTTATTCTGCCATTTTTTCCAAGCCGTCTGCACCGCGTCTGTGGCCCGGTGGTAGTCCCATCTTAGCGTCACTCTTATGTCCACGATCGAGCGCGGCTGGATGCGGACTTTTAGCTCAATGCCTTTAGGGCACTTAATCGACTACCATTATCTAGTAAATAAACTTGAAACGTTTTCAATGGTATGGAAAAGCCTTTAAGCCAGACCAACGGTATGAGATTACTAGCAAACGACTCAGCCGTCCTCGGATTTGAGGAATCTATCGATGCTGTTTTCAGAGATGTGGTCGGAATGAGATAGGTTTTTCTAACGAAAGTCATGTTGTAGTCCCGTGGAAATCTACGCATTGGTAAGAAGAATCGATTTCTTAATTCCAACGTGCTGGCAGAGCGTTTAGTAGGCAGAAATTTTGAAGAAGGTGAATACCCCGGAAATCAAAAATTTAAAACCGAAATCTTGAGACTTCTATATCGAAAAAGTTCTAAAATCATGTTGGATCGGAGAAGAGAGCGAAGGTGGAAAATTACTGTTGCCTTGTTTATTTTCAAAATTGTCTTCGCTAGCAAAAAGCAAATAAGGTTGATCCGGACCGAAAAAAACAATCTGCGGAACTCGACTAAACAGGTTTTTAATCAGACTGATTGCCAGTGGAACGGCTGAAACTCCGGGAACGTGTCTCCGGATTAAAATTAAGACTGAAAGCGATGAACACAACCTAGTCATCTTCATAGGAAAAGTAGTTCAAAAAAATATGAAGTAACATTAAGGAGGACGGCAGCTACTCAGTTAACATAGACACCAATATGGAACCAGCCGCTTAAAGTGGCAGCAGAACTAAGTCGGTAACGGGCAGTATTCTGAGAGAAGAAACAAAAGTTGTTGAAACCTAGCGTGCAGCGGAACAGACCGGTGAAAATGGCGTCAGAGGGAATGCAGCAACATCCACAACAGCAATAAACGCAACCGGAAATTCGACTGACTCAAAATCGGGGTGCTTGAACGCATATACCCAAAGTCTAGTATCGAAATTTGATGGGTTAAAATTTACTTTGTCGAACTCTTTACGCATGCGATATGAGCAACCGAAATCTGACTTTCTGGCGATATTAGGGATAGCGAAATGACATTATTTGGATACCACATATATCGTGCGGCGTAGGGAAAGCCGTCCGAATGGAGGCATAGTTGTGCATTTGATAGAAGATCTTATCCAAAAGAAGTAGAAGTATGGAAAAAACCGAGGTCGCCAGGACTAGCCGATATTTTATTCAACCTTCCCAGACAACTTGCCAGGGAACTATCCGTATCTACGTCAGCGATCTTTTAAAGTTCAGATGACAATGGAACACCTGCTACCGATAGGAAGCTGGCACATATAACTCCCAATGTAAAGGCAGTAATCGGGCGTCGACGACAAAGTACAGGCCCATAAGCGTGATATGCATTCGCAGCAAAGTTATGCAAGGAATCATGAATCGATGTTATTCCTAAAAGTCCACAACTTACTGTCGAAATGTTCATGCGGGTCCCAGATGCTGCATGCCAAACTTTCTGAAATCTCTCCGGAGCTGAAACCGAACTCTCGAGGATAGGCACGCGGTCCATATCTCTTTCATTGACTTCTGAAAGGCCTGCCACTCTGTGACGTTTCAAGGACTGTTGCGCTAATTGGAAAGAATAAGGATTAGAGGTAGCCTCCTTAAATAGATCGTAAACGTCCTAGTGGGTTGGCACCAGGTCCTGCTGTGGTCGAGAGTGATGTTCCTCAGGGTTCAGTAGTGAAATTCATTTTCTTCTCATATACGTGGACGACTGCGCAAGAGATTTGGACTACGAAGCGGGAACGTTTGCTGACGACATTAAAGTATGGAGTCTAATCTAGGGCCGGCTGACGAAGATAGTCAGCGAATCAATCTAAATCGGTTGGGGTGTCATGAGGTCGTTGGCCCATGCTGTTCGACGTCGGTCAGCGTAGAACACTTAGTCTGAGCAACCCAACCAAATTCCCCAGCACAAAGAAATGCCTTCCCAATGTTGTGGCTTTACAGGACGTGAAATTCAAAGACGGTCACTGCGTACTGATGACGAATCCTTAAAACAATCTAGCCATTGTTCGAGAGTGGTAAAAAGCGTAATGTCCGTACCGTACGCTACCAAGAAAGGATTTATGGACTTTGATGAAGATTTCTCCTTCAAGGTCTTGGAAAAATCCATGAGATCGCATTTGACGTAGGAAAAACAGGCTTGGAAAACCTGGGCGGTCAAAGGTCAAATATTCTTGAGCAAATCTAGAGGAGAGTCTTAAAAATGGTTAGGGGCTGAAGCCACTTGCTTTATGCAGTCAGCCTAACAAATCGAGGCCCCTCTCCTTTGACTTATGGATAACTGCTTGGGGATCTCTTAAAAATATTCGGCACAGTGAAGGGACTGGACTGCCGCTCAACTTTTGACGAATTTGACGAATTTGCTACCACGACCAACCTCCGAGGTCGCACATTTAAACTGAACGTTCGGCAGGCAAGGCTGGATGTGCGTGAGTTCTCCTTCACTATCAGTGGTCAAAACATGGAATGTGCCCTGCAAACGTTTTGAAGCCACCATGGATAGAAAGCTTTGAAAGGGACCTTGACAGATTTATCTTCCAAGACGAGCGAGAGACAGAACTTAACCTTTGAGACTCACGCCTAAATCGTGATATATTTATGGTCCCCCTTGAATTAGTTCAGATCACGCAATCTCAATGTACCTTGTACCCAATTTTACCTTCAAATAACGTACTCAGAGGCCCATGTATACTCCCCCCCCGTAAACTAAACTGAAGTTAACATTAGACGAAAACCCTGTATCACCACAATATTCCTTCTCACAATAGAACAGAATTAACAGGTACAAGCCGGAAGCTGACAGACGAAATTGAACTTAAGACACAAGTTGTTGGCAGTCAGGGAGACGAGCGCTCTTAGAGAGCAAAATTGGTAGTAGCAGGGTGCAAATGGTTGCCAGTTATTAACAAAGGCAGAAAAATCAAAGGAAGCGCAACGATGGATGTAAAAAGTTGGCATGCTTGATGTGATCGTTTGGGGACACCTCACTTCGGTCGTCACGGGGGATTTAGAATGCTAGTGTGCAGGTACCACGAAGCGAAAACTATAATCCTAGGGGAAATTTGATGGTAGAGAAATGCTAACGACAAGGACAAATTGAAAGAACAATGTACTTAGTAAGGGTCCTGTAAGACGCTTTCTGCAGCACGTGGAGGGGTAGAGATAAGCGATTCCTTGAAGTATCCGTTGGATATAGGGGTTAACACCTGTATTTACTAAGTTTGAACGCTGCCAGAAAATGTCGCCTGGAAACCGTATAGCAGTGCCCTATGCGAGTTCGGCGGTGGGACACTGGAAGCCAGAGTTAAGCTCGTCCAAGATACCGAGCGTGAACAAGTGTGGATGTTCACTCCAGTAAGTGGGATTAGAATATGCTCGGAACGAAACATTGAATTGGTTGTGGGGGCGTTTGATTAGGGCGTTGGGTGAAGGGCGGTAGACTATCGTGTCTATAGAAGGACATTCGAGGGGATCAATGGGGCCAGGAGAAAGACTAAACTCAAGTTGTTGGCTCAGATTTTGGTGATGATTGAGAGGGCACCTTGGTGGTATATCAAATGCTCCAGCATGTATGTATGCAGAATAACTTTATCTTAAAGATACAAGGGAAACTGAGATAGCCGTTTCTGGCTTGTAAGCCGTCATCAGGCAGTCATACGCGACTGCGATGTATGCAACCCTCGAGGCTAAAACTCGTAGCCTGTTGGTTAGGAGTCAAAAGCTCCAACCATTGAACTGCGGGCCTGTTGTCCTGTCAGTTGAGATCGGATGTATTAAAAATGATAAAGGATCGCAGACCGATCGTGTTATGTGGCGAACTCACTCCATTACGTCTTAGGGCTCTCTGTCTCGAACCCCGTCAGCTGCCGCACAGATATACGTATATGTATGCGTATATGAATTTATCTTGGAAAAGACGAGAAATAGGGAGAGAGAGTTCTAGGGCCAATCTACCACAGAAAAGTTAAAATCGCCAGCGATTACCTTAACATGAAGGGCAGATTCCGGAACCAGTTCAAAGGTTCCACAAAACTGGGCATCATCACTGGCTAATGTGCACAGGGAATTGTAGATACGGCCAAATGCTGGGTATCCCGCCATCTGCAAGTATACCGTGGCTCGCAGACTAAAAAACATGCAGCCGAAACAGTCAAACAAATAACAAAAACCGCCCTCATCCCCCACCCAACCCCACAGACTGCTAAGGTGAATCCACTCACCTTGGCGGCCTGGAAGTCTCGGCCCCTCTTAGCCAATCAGACGAGTGACTTACCGGAACGGAGGATAGCGTTAGTCGCTCGAGAACTGGCGCGCTACCAGGTGAACATTTCTGCGCTCAGCGAGATCCGGCTCTCCGGACAAGGCCAACCTGAAGAGGCGGGTGCCGACTACACTTTCTTCTTGAGCGGTCGTCCCAGGGCAGATCGACGGGACGCGGTCGTCACCTTTGCCATTCGGAACAACATCGTGGGACGATTGCCCTATCTGCCGCAGGTCATCAACAACCGACTGATAAGCCCGCGCCTGCCTCTTTAGGTATCCCAATTCGCCACCATCATCAGCGTCTGCGTCCCACCAATGACCGTTTCTGAGGAGACGAAGACCAAGTTCTACGAAGAACTGCACTCTCTCCTGTTGTCTGTGTCAAAGACAGATAAGCTGGTTGACCTTGGTGACCTCAATGTTCGCGTCAAGACAGACTGCTTTCTAGAGAGGAATGTTGGGTCCTCACGGGATCAGCGGCTGCAACGACAATGGTCTCCTCCGTCTACACACATACACAGAAAGCCGCCTGCCGTTGACTAACACCCTCTTCCGCCTGGCGATGCAGAAGAAGGCGACCTGGATGCACCCCCGATGGCGCCGCTGGCAGCTGCTGTATTATGTTCTCGTCGGGCAGCGTGATCAACGGGACGTGCTGGTGACCAAGGCTGAGCGGACTGCCCCCTCATCGTCTTCAAGATGAAGCTCCGTCCGAAACCCCACAGGAGGCCGCAAGGTAAGCAACCACCAGGCAGGTTGAATATCGCTTTTTTATCCTTGCCTGCTCACCGTTTAAATTTCTGCTCTCAGCTGACCCAGCTCCTGGAAGACATGCAAACTCAAGACGAAAACGTCGTCATAGAGACTTGGTGGTGGCAACTGCGCGACGCCGTCCATTCGACCGTCTTGGGAGTCTTTGGCCGCACACTTCGTCAACACCAGGATTGGTTTGACGAAAACGACGGAGCCATCAGCAACCCGCTCGTCGAGAAAGGCAGGCAGCATACAGCCTACCTCGACTGCCCAAACGTTGCAAGCAAATCGGCCCTTAACCAATGTCGCCGCCTTGTGCAGCAACGGTTGCGAGAAATGCAGGACACGTGGATGACTCGTAAGGCTTAGGAGATCCAATGGTATGCCAACCGCAACAAAACAAAGAACTTCGCTGCGATCAAGGCGATATACGGTTCCCCAATGAAGGGAATCGCGCCCCTCCTCAGCTCTGATATATCAACGCCTCTGACGAAGAAGTCGCAGATTCTGAAGTGTTGGGCCGAGCATTTCCGAAGTGCCCTCAACCGTCCGTCCACAATCTCCGACGCCACCGTCGACTGGCTCCTCCAAGTGGAGACCAACATCGGCCTGGATCTCGCATCCTCCCTCCAAGAAACCATCTGCGCCGTGTAACAACTCTCCAGCGGGAGAGTACCAGGCTCCGATGCGATTTCACCTGAAATCTACAAGCACAACGACCACCGACTAATGGAACAACTTACAACGCTTTTCCAGATGTGGCGACAAGGACAGGTTCTTGAGGACTTGAAGGACACGACCATGTCCATCTCTCTAAGCGCAACGGGAACCGGTAACGCTGTGATAATTTCGGAGGTATCTCGCTACTCAACATCGTCGGGAAGATCTTTGGTCGCATCCTCTTCAATAATCTCGAAGGCCACCTCGAGCAAAAACTTCTGCTGGAAAGTCACTGTGGCTTTTGACGACGCCGCGAGACCACCGACATAGTATTTGCCGCTAGCCAGCTACAAGAAAAGTGCCAGAAGATGCGAGCCAACCTCTACACTACCTTCGTAAACTTGATAAAAGCCTTCGAAACGATCAATCGCGAAGGACTGTAGAAAATTATGTAGAAGTTCAGCTGTCCTAAGCGATTCACGCGCATGGTACGTCAGATCTACCATGGGATGATTTCGCGAGTGAAAGACAACGGCGCTTTCTCCGAGGCATTCACAGTGAACAATGGAGTGCGTTCTTACACCGACCCTCTTCAGTCTCATGTTTTCTGCCATGCTGATGGACATCTACCATGAAGAGCATCCCAGGATCCGCATCGCCTACAGGACCCACGGGCACCTTCTCAACAGCCGCCGAATGCAGGCCCCGGCGCGTCTCTCCACAGTTACTATCCAGGATCTGCTCTTCGCCAGCGACTGCGTACTCAAGGCTACGACCTAAGAAGACATGAATAAGAGTATGAATCTCTTCTTCGACGGGTTTGCCAAAGTCGGCCTGAAAATCGACACAGACAAAGCGATGGTCATGAACCAACAGCCACTGAACGCTGAGTGTGCTGTCCCTCGTATCCACGTCCACGAGACCGGACTGAAGACCGTGGACAACGTCACCTACTTCGGCAACACAATTTCACGTCGCATCAGAATCGATGACGAGGTTGCCCATTTGAACTCCAAAGCCAGCCAAGCCCTCGGCAGGCTACAGAACTCCGTGTGAAGTCGCCACAGCCTTCAACTGAACACCAAGCTGAAGATGTGCAAGCCGTCGTCCTAGCGACACTTATGTGTGGAACGGGTGCCCGAGCCGTTTACCCCAGCCATGCTAGGAAGCTCGAACACTTTCATCTCAGCTGCCTTCGCAGAATACCGAAGTTGAGATGGCAAGACAGGGTCGTGTACACGGAAGTTTTGGAACGGACTGGAATCCTCAGCATCTACGCCATGCTGAAGCAACTTGAACTACGCTAGAGCGGCCATTTCGTGAGGATGGAAGACACACTCCTACCAGAATAACTCTTCCATAATGACGCCGCCATGGGTACTAGTTGACATGGAGGTCCAACCCGCCGCTGCAAGGATACTCTGAAGGACTTTCTGAAAAGACTCCAGATCGGCCCGGAGACCTCGGAGGACCTCACCTTGTACAGATCGGTTTGAAGATGAGAAATGAGTACTGGTGCAGCCATCTGCGAAGCAAACCGGATCGAAGTCGTTAAGACCAAAAGGGAAGTTCGCAAGTAACGAGTGCCTCGACTCTACAATGCCAACAGTCGGCCACTTTCAACATGGCCCGCTGACAACTCAAAATCCGCGCGCGAATCGGGCTCGTAGGACACTTTCGGAAGCAGTGCAATGACAACCCGACAACGTCATCTTCTCCGTCCACGAACGCCCCCGCCGCAGACCCCACGACGACGATCAACTCTGCCGTCGATGAACGCAATTCCGCTACCCCGCCAACTTCAATCACCGACGTTATCCGCCCTGCCCAAACCCTTGCGTCGACCACAGCGACCAGCTCAGCCAAGGTCACGACATTTCGTCCCCCCACCGATGGGACGACACTCGACATCCCACCATCTAATAAGGTCACCACTAACACCCCCACCTCTAGCGACGTGGACTCGGTCCCAACCTGTTCTCAATGCGATCACACACTCGTCTTAAACATGGGTCTGGTCTGTCAATTGCGATGTTATCGTACATGGGCTGTCGAACCAGTGTCTGGAGCACCCACATACACTCGCCGCATTCACCTCATCTGTCGTCACTGACCTCGCACATTCATTCATCACACGAGCCCATTCGGTCACACGCGTATCCATGACAGCGGAATTCACTACAGTAGCGACACACCCAGCAAACCCACTATACCTAGTTCAGTCAACATCCCATCGTCCAGCGCACCCACCACCTGGAGCTCCACTACCGGCTGTAGGCTGCAGCGGCTACTTCCTAAAGTAATCTTTGGCAGTCTCACATATGCGCGAGTTATGCCGCCTACCTTCTGTTGTGTGAAATCCTGGTGCCTGTGTTTTGGGGGTAACTTGGACCTCGCAGTCGGCCCACTTATGTGTGTTTATGTGGAGCAGCCGGCTGGTGGTCTAGGAGTCAGGCTGCAATGGCTCTTTCTTAATGTGGCCTTTATGGCATTCCTACTCTGTGGGATCCGGGTCAGATGTGACGGCACGCCTAGCTGCGGCTCTGACCGTGCCTGCCACCCTTTTGTTTTGGTCAAAAACCTAGTCATTCGCTGTGTGGACTAGGGGGTGTGGAGTGGGACGCCAAGGTGCGGACACGACCGTACCATCCACCTGCGCCCTCCCTCGCCTCCAGTCTTCCAGACCACGTCTTGATACCGGTTCCAGGTGGGGCAGGGAGTGCGGTAGATGCTGTACAAGTCTACATGCTCTATATACTAACTCACGAACAAGTTACCGTCTCTGTTTCACCATGCTGTGGAGTACACGGTGGACCTCATCAGAAGTGACGGTCAGACTGTCAGTAGCTTCACCTGTCATGGCTAGGTGGCGTCGGTCAGAAGTCAAAAAAAATTAAGCTAGGCGTCTGGCCCGTGATCCTAAGATTTAAGCATAGCACTGGAATTCGTTGAGAGGATTTGGGCAGCATAATTCAGATATCAGACCCCGTAGGAAATACAAGCAAGTGACCTGTGTGCATCTTGTGGTGGTCACGTTTACCTTCTAGTTCGAGGTTATGGATGGCTATTTTTGGATCCTTACGATGCGATCTCACACATGGTGAGACTGAAGGCGTTGGTGAGAAACCACGTGTGATAGCCAAAATTCGGCACCGGCATTGAGAAAGCGCCATATGCGTGTTTTGGTTGTCATAAAATGCAACAGAGTTTATTGAAGGCACAATTACTACTTTGGTCTTTGCCCTTAAGACGGCCGTGCTCAAAATGACCGTGGAGACCCGTTCCAAGTAGAGTGAATCCATTTTGAAACACACACCGTGTTCTTCGTCCACAACAATATGCAAAATATGGACTGTCTCCCAGGAATTTGTTCAGAAAATGGAATTTGACACTTAACGACTGCACCATATCACCGAAAAGGAAGTAGTTCCGTCGAAAGTCCCGCAAAAGTCACCAGACATGGCTCACTGAGGCCTGTTAAAATGGTTGAGCCATCCCACTAATAATTATCGTTTCACATCAGACAAACGGGTGGGTTAATTTTAAATGGTTCTCACAAATTAGGTTGGGCCTCCCATCAGGCTATTCAAAAACAAATTTTGAATGCGAAAAACATGCAGATGCGAATAATAAGTACCGATTAGTCAGTTTCACTTGTCTCCTACAGCAAAAAACTGGTTGGCAGCCGTGATCTGTAATTGTGATGATTAAATTGTTTGCTTGAAAATAGTGGACAGACAAGTCGATCGCTGAAATTTTGGTCACGGCAGCGCGTGAATTAATGTAATAATTATAGCGGCAAATAATACTTCCCGATGCAGCAAAGACAAAGCCTTGAACAATAACTCTCGTCAGTTTCTCTGGAAGCAGGCGTCGGATACTAATTAATTTGGATTCGTCCTCACGCGTTCCTGATTTTCGCTCCAAAAATACATACTCAACTTGCCGATACAAGCGAAGATGCGAGTTCCAGGAACTAGTTGATCAGAAGAAGAAGAAGCGATCGCTGGAACAAGGGCTTTATTCGCCTGACGTTTCGGGTTCCCACTTGAATCCATCATCAAAGACAGTGGCAGAAAACGGTGACTCGTGCACAGGAAGTTGCAGTATTTATAGGACGCAGTCGCTATGCTACCGCATACCTATAGCAATTAACCGCGCTTCCCTCCATCAAGGACTGTTGCCCGCTGGTGCGCTAATTGCTTGATGGCCGGCATGCAAGTTGTTAATTGCCGAAATGTCATTACTCGTATTGGATGCTGGGGCCCACAGTCACACCTCACAAGACACTTTGGTCAGATAAGATACGCATTTCTGTAGTTTTTGCCTTCTTCCTTGATCATTGGGCTGGATACTTGAAACAGCAAGTTTGCTAGGTCATCCATATGAAACGTTTAAGCTAACTGGTCGTTCATCATAAATTTAGTCTCTTCATCGGTGAAGTAAGTTTGCGGTTGATTTCGAGCCAACTTTACGGGCCAGATTCAACGTTTGGAGCACAAGTCATGCTCCGCAATCTCTATCTCTGGGAATTCTCGGACAATTGGAATTTGAAATAATGAGGATAGAGACCATTTTCAATGTCACATTCGGCGCAACAGCACGGATTATCCATGGGCAAAGGTATTCAGCTTGACATACAGTTGTGGCAAACAACCACAACCCCCTTGTCAGTCGGATGCTTGTGCCGTGTGTAACTCTGTTTCTCGACATGGTCATCCCGTGAGGCCGACAGATGTTTCGATCCTCACTGATTGTCCGCGTCCGGACATGGCACAGGCGAATGATCATATCATGTCGTGGATAATAGCAACAACGGTTGACTCGCGGCATGACGAACACTTTGGTCGTTCCTGATTTCTGAGCTAACTATACTTTCTCGGTCTGCATAAACTGCAATATGATGACTCCGATATAATTGTTTGGTTTGGCTTTAACCTTTTCCGTTCCATAAACCTAGACGCTGAGTGACGCTTAACTGTGGAAACGCCGAGGAAGGAAATATCGACTTGGTTACTTTTGGTTAGTGAAAATACAATGTCATTAAGACCGACTTCCTGTATGTCCACATTAAGGCAGAATTCGGGATCTGAAATTCGGCTTCTGTGAACGTTTGACGGGACTGGTGTGAGTCGCAAACAAAATTACTCGATCACAGATTCATTCAGGGACCTGTTTTCGTTCCAGGTGACTGTCTACAGCCTAACGTATAAATAGGGGTGTACACACTGAGCAATTTAATCAATATTTAAAGTTCAGGATTCCTACGTGTTGCAGGCCTTTTTGAGAAGCCTCGTCAGGTACCAGGGACGGCGACGCCCAAGTCTGAAAGTGTGCCAGCCGTAGATAGATAGATAATTTTTTATTAAAGACCCGTCGGGGTCCCATCAAAGCAAGTTAAAATAAATTTACATGCGAGTTTTAGACGAGGTAGGCCGAATCTTTACAAGCTGCAATTCATAGTTTATGAATTAGTAGTCCGTTGAGAAACATGATGATTGAGGGGTGAACAAAAACTCCATATAGAAAGTTAAAAGTGATTGGATTAATTTTACAGGAGAAAAAAACCCCTCAATAAAAGTAATGACAGAAAAAAGCGAGCAGGACTGACCTGTAGGTGGCGGTATATAACGGAATGTTGTCGATCATCGTCAGGGTAGCAATAAATCTCAGCCTTGAGGGGTACGTATGCGGGTCAGACAGGACTGGTTTGCATGTGGCATAGTATACGGGATTCACAATTGAGATCGTCTGGGCCAGACTGATACGCCGCATGAGACTATTCGCGTCAAAGAGGCCAGACGAGAGGAACCCAGATGCGATCGGCCACAGCCGTAGGGCAAGTAAGTTAAAATAATTGATTCCTAGAACTCACTACATGCTTAAGCTCCTACATCCGTGCTGGAGAGTTCAGTAGAACGAACATTGAATTTGTCTGAGCTTCTGGACCTTTACCGGAACTCATCATCGAGGAAAAGGAAGCAAAGGTGACTAGCGTGAAATTTTATTTTGGTTTCCTATCTCAAGTGAATCGTTTGCGTTCTTAAGTGACAACA